AAATTGTAACCCTAACAATTTTTTCAAGTGTAATATATCTGTAAACGCTGAGTATACAAAAATAGACATTTCTGTAGAATGACCCATGTATTCAGTATATTTAATAATTATCTGTTGTTTACATAGAAGGAGGTTCTATGTAATATATGTAAAATATGTCTATAAGAAGGTTGTGATGCTAGTAAAGTTTAAACTGATCCTCCGTCTCTTCAGTGTCAAACGCTGAGCAAATCTGCCCAACTGTCCAAAATTTGAGAAACTGTCAGCAGTGCTGAGAATAATCCACCACCCAAATACTACCTGCTCTGTGAGGGTCCATGGGGGTCCTGACCACTGAAGAACAGGGTAAAAGGGGGCTAACAAAGTATCAGAGAAACAGATGGACTACAGTCTGTAACTGTAGAACTACAAAGTGCACCTATATAGTAAGTGGAGCTGATAAAATGGACAATGAGCGTAGAAACAAGGAGGTGGTCATAATGTTATGTCTGATCGGTGTATGTTCTTCACAGAAAACGAGCAAAGGTCAGGGAATCTGAGGTTGAAATAATAATAAATTATATTTTTTCCTTTGGTAAACTTTGAAAATGGGTCCCACAGACCTGAACACCACACAAGGGTTAATACAGAACAAGTAGAGACTCCCTGGAAATGGAAAATGTCAAAAGGGCCTCGCTGCTAAGACGGTTTGTTTGAGCAGGGAATTTTCACCCGCTATCTGAAGACATACAATTTGTGTCTTTGCCCTGTAATTACAGAGACTTACTGGAACACTCATGCTTAAGAACAAAGCGCTGTCTGTGACACTGACAACATGAGAAGCGCTAACAGCTGTCAGCTTTTACACTCAGGAGTTTTTCTCCCTCCTTTAACCCCTTTTCTCCAAATAAATGCAATGAAGTCATCAAAAAGTCTTCAGCCCAGCAAATGTTTCACAGTTCTCCACTCACTGTTCTACAGCACTGTAAACTTTTTGCATCACAACTTTGATGTGCCCTCTAAACCAAATTACTCCTCGCTGACCCATTCAGGAAAAGCCTGGATGAACCTGGATGTGTCCCGGGCAAAACGCGCTCTCCGCTGTTTGATCTCCAAATCTGTTATTGCCAATCTGCCTCACTCCCCCAAGCACTGCTGGCTGAGTCTGCTTATCCTGAACTGCTATTTAAAGCCCTGACAGTCCCCTTTCCAAGCGCACCACAGCAACCAACCTTCACTTCAACATGAAGTTTCATATTCTGAGTATACACCATCGTTAAATTGTGGCATATTCTTAAGAAAAGACAGAAATGCTCTAATTCGTAAGTTCAGTTTGGTGAATTTCGTGGTTACGTTTATAATGGAAAATGCTAGAAATGCACTGGTCAAATGATAAAGACCTGATTTTAGGGGTTCATTCAGTTCCTGGCTAAGGAATTTGACTTGTATGATGAATAATAAATGAGTGCACCGTTAACCGTTTACTCTTACATCTGCCGATTTTTTCACAATTTCTGCATAAATCAGTAGTTGAGTTGCAAACTCAGTCATTCAGACTGGTTTGATGTAAAATCTTTCATTGTAGAGAAACTTACCAACTCAGATTTCTCTACAGTGGTGGTGACAGGAGCCAGGAGTTGTGATGTCTACAGCCTAGCCATTCTGTTTAACTCCCAAAATGACTAGTGAACCTGCATATGGCTCCTGAGTTTTTAGATGTAGTGTTGATAATGGAAAATAATGGCAAATCTGAAAAAATAGTTTTTTTTTCTTTTGGTGCTGTTTTGCCCTTAATGCCTGCATGTACACAAAATAAAAGGCCCAAAATGTCTTGGAAAAAAAGTTTGGTTCCACTGACTTTCATTAAAGGCAAAGTAGGTTTTTTCCTTCTCCTGTAAAGTTAACATTTTGGAGATGTGAGGTTTTCTTCCGACAATGGCGATATATATATAAACTGACATGTCTATGTCAGATTATGAGGTACAAAGTCCATTTTTTAACTGTGCAGATTTTTTAACCTTTTAAAACCTCTTTCAAATTTGTTTTTACTATAAAATCCCAAAAATGAAGACATAAGGTTTAGGTATGACATTTAGTAAATAATATCATAATATCACCTCCTTGTTTCTAAACTGATTGTCCATTTTATCAGCTCCACTTACCACACAGGTGCACTTTGTAGTTCTACAGTTACAGACTGTGGTCCATCTGTTTCTCTGTAAACTTTTTTTCTTTTGGTGCTGTTTTGCCCTTAATGCCCTGCATGTACTTCTCCACCATAAATGGATTTTAGAAATATGCTTTAGGCCAAAACTCCTGCCAAAACTATCATAAAGCAGTGTCTCAGGCATCAGTCAAGATATTCATAACCATTTCATGTAATAACTTTCTGTAAGGCAGCTTTTAGAGGCATTAAACTCTTCAGACGTCTGGTTCCCATCACCACCACTGCGGTCAGTTCTAACTCAATAAGTTGCTCTAAAACAAAGCAATTAAAAAACCGACCCACTCAGAATGACTTTCTCTACATCTTAACCATTTCATTTTGCAGACATTTTGAAAATTCAGTGGAATTCCCCTTTAAGATGCTACAAACGGGCCTTTCATCCCTTCTCTTTTGATTAAAGACCAGTTTGTCTCACTTCTCACTAGATTAGCACTTTTTACAAGAGACATTGTCCCAAATCAGATTTACAGAAATCCAGAGTGAGCTGAGGGCGACAGTGTCAGGAAGAACTTTCTAAGACTGTGAGAAAGAAACACTGAGAGGAAACAAGACTCATACGAGGAGCCCATCCTCCTCTTGACTGCACCGGATAGTGAAGTTAAGATACAGGTTTTTAAACATACAGTTTCTTATTGTACACAGAGTGTGGAGTCTAATTAAATGGCTCCACAGCAATGATCACACAATACGACCTGAGACATTCCCTTGTGGTCGTAACTTTCTGCCCCTGCTTGTCCAAACCTCTATATTCTTGTTTATGAGGTCTGAGAGGAGATGGAAGGCTTTCGTGGGAAGGACAGTCATTCCCAGCAGACACAGGTGACAGGACGCTGCCAGTGGCCTCTCATTCTCTAATAGAGTATCACTAGGGGGAAGGGTGAGGAGCCCGGCCTTCTGAAAAGGGTGACAGCTGTTGAAGAGGCCCTGAAATAACAGAGCACTGATCAAACAAGACCTCCAAACCTGAGCACAAGGAAGGAGCGCAGACGTGCACTCATATGTAATCATTCAGACCTGAGTTATAGGCCTGGTCTGTTTTCCAGATTTTCATCGCCACTGAGTTTGAAGTCAGTTTGATGTTTCTAGAATACAGAATATATGTTGTCTAGTATCAGATATATATCTAGAATATATATAGTTGGCAGTTTGTTTGGTGTAACTGTACAGATTTTTAACATTTTTGACGATTTCTATTTGCCAGTTGTCAGTAATGTTCCACACAATGGAAAGGACAGTGGGTATTTTTTAAAATTACAGCAAAAAACTGTAAAACAGAAGTGGAGACATGAGGTTTTGTTCTGACAGCAGTGATATATATAAACTGATCAGACATAATATCAAATCCACCTTCTACACTTACAGACTGTAGTCCATCTGTTGCTCTGTATACCTTGTTTAGCCCCCTTTCACCCAGTTCTTTAATGATCAGGACCCCCACAGAGCAGGTATTGTAGGTATTATTTGGGTGGTGGATCATTCTTGCATTGCTTGTATGCGGTGTGTTTTGTATTTATACGTTTTTCAGTTTTTGACATAATTTGAAAATGCCTGTTGTCCTTTACATTGTGTGGAAATTTCATGATAAATGGACCAAAATAAATGCATTAAATGCATTTATTATACAAAATAAACTACATTTAAAGTAAAGCAAGTTTTTTCCTTCTCCTATAAAGTTGTTATTTTGGAGATACAATATATATATATATATATATATATGCATGTATATCATTGTTGTCAGAAGAAAACTTCGTGTCTCCATTTTTGGCGTTTTTCAGTTTTTAACATAATTTGAAAATGCCTGTTGCCCTTTACAATGTTTGTAAATTTCATGATGAATGGACCAAAAGAAACGACCCAAAATGACTAGGAAAAAATTCTGGTTCCATTGACTTACATGAAAAGTAAAGTAGGTTTTTGCTTCTCCTGTAAAGTCACCATTTTGGAGATACAAGTTACAGTGATATGTCAGTTTATGAGGGACACTGTGCATTTTTTAACTGTACAGATTTTTAACCCTTTAAAAAACTCTTTCAAATTTGTTTGAAAACAAAGACATAAGGTTGAATTCCAACAGTAATGAAATATATACACTGATCAGACGTAATATCAATAATACCATAATATCATAATATCACCTCCTTGTTTCTAAACTGATTGTCCATTTTATCAGCTCCACTTACTATATAGGTGCACTTTGTAGTTCTACAGTTACAGACTGTGGTTCATGTGTTGCTCTGTAAACTTTGTCAGCCCCCTTTTACCCTGTTCTTCAGTGGTCAGGACCCCCCACAGGACCCCATATATGTATATGTATATATGTGTATATATATACATACAGTCTGCATTTAATGCCTAATTATTTTTAAATGACAACGCTGCACCTTCAATGCTTTGCCACCAGGTGGAGCCAAAAGACACCCAAGACTGACTACAATGACGAGCTCAGCTGCTCAACTTCATCGATGCCTCTCTTCTCTGTTTTATTGATTTAACGAACAGTTAAACCTCTTTATTGACTTCATTCGGCGTCTTTATTGATCTTAATCAATGTTAGACATCTTAAGCTCGCGGAACGCCTCAGAACCAACATATATGGCACAGTATCACTGAAATCATTAGGATGATGGGACATCAGTGTCTAAAACACCGCCACATGGAGTCCGGCTGCTGTTTCTGAGCGGACCAATAGGATGCGCGGGTGGGCGTGTCCTCGCCTCTCCTGCTGCTCGCGCGGACAGAAGTTAAAAGTGAGTGCGCGAGCCGCCGCCGCCGCTGTTGTGAGAGAGAGAGAGGATGCTGCTCGAGCGTCGGCGCGTGGGTCCGTCCAGGTGGATTTAATGAGAGGAGTGTTTAGTGTTTTGTTCGTCGTTTAAACCGGACCTGCAGCTGCAGCCGCAGGCGCTATGGAGCTCCTCACGCGCCTTTTTCTTCTGGCTTCGGTGACGGTTTGTTCCTCACAGAGAACCGGCGGATACGGGCTGTCGTACGCGTACACACCGGAGCTCTCCGAGGACGCGATACTTGTGGCCAACAACGGGATACGTGTGCCTTTCGGGCGGTCGGTGTTCATCGACCCCATCAACGACCTGGTGACTGAAGTTCAGCCCGGAGACAGGTGCAGCGTCACCGTGCTGGACAGCGACCCCCTGTCCCAGAGACCGGGGCGCCTTTCTCCCAAAAAGTTCCCGTGTGAATTCGGCCCCAACGACGTGAAATACTCCCACTTCGGCTCCAGGAGCCCCGCCGAGGACAGAGTGAGGCTCCAGCTCAGGTACGACACTCAGACTGAGACCATCATCATCCCCTTCATGCTGGAGGTGGAGGTCCTTTTCACACAGCTGGAAATTGTCACTAAAAACATGCCGCTCACCGTGGAGAGACTACACAGCACCAGCAACCCGATAGACAGGAAAATACTCGAGTTCTCCTACGATAGGACCTCTGAGCAGTGTGAGGTGGCCTCATTAGCCGCCACCAGTGCTCTGCCTAGATATGGAGAAGTTACAGACGGGGGCAAATTAGAGAACACGATGGACTGTGACGCTTTTCTCAGAGCTGACATTCGCTACAAGCACACTTTTGCGCGGAAGTCCCCGGACAGGGACTACGTTCCCATGGTGGTGGAGCTGCGGAACAAGGAAAACAACGTCCTCAAGCAAGAACACTTCCACGTCATGGTGCGCATAAAAGAAGGGCTGAAAAACAGCCCTCCCAAGCCCAGCTTTGTGGCGATGATGATGATGGAAGTCGATCAGTTCGTTATGACCGCCTTGACTCCCGACATGTTGGCCGCTGAGGACGCGGAATCGGACCCCGGCGATCTCATTTTCAACCTCACCTCCCCGCTCTCTTTCGAAGAAGGTTATATCGTGAGTACAGATGACAGAAATTTACCTATTACATCTTTTTATCAGCGTGATTTAAAGGAGCTGAAGATAGCTTATAAACCTCCGTCCCTGGACTCGGACACAGAGAGGATATTTCAGATAGAGTTCGAAGTGCTGGACACCGATGGTGGCGTCTCAGATCCCTTCGCTTTCATGATTGTGGTAAAGCCCATGAACACACTTGCGCCGGTGGTGACGAAGAACACAGGGCAGCTCCTGTATGAGGGTCAGTCCAGGCCTCTGTTCACTCAGAACAATCTAGAAATCAGTGACGAAGACGATCTGGATAGCGTGAGGATAACTGTCGTGGACGGCCTGCGGCACGGCGAGCTCACTGTTCTCGGCTCTAGCAGGAAGTATTTCACGCCAGCCGATCTTCAGGTCGGTATTGTCGTCTACCAGCATGACGGAAGTGACACGTATAGCGACAACATCATTTTCCGAATGACGGATGGGAAGAACGAGGTGGAGTTTTTGTTCCCCATCACGGTCGTGCCCACAGACGATGAGCCCCCCATCATCAACGCCAACACAGGACTGGTGCTATTTAAAAACCAAATCATGCCAATTTCACCGCTAATGCTCAGCGCAGCGGATATCGACTCTGAAGATTCCACTATTAAGTTCACCATTGAGCCTCCACTCTCCACGATTGGTGAAGTGCTGCTAAGGCAGTCGGAGGCACCGGAAGATCCATCGTCGTGGAAATTCAGCACTGAAGATGGCATGTATGAGAAGGCTGTGGTGGAGTGGATACAGAAAGACATTACAGACGGAAAGCTTTTCTACAGACACAAAGGGCCCCACATCACGGAGACGGTGACCGATCAGTTTCTCTTTAAAGCGCAGGACGACGCTGATCCTCCAAACCAATCGGACGAGAACGTGTTCTTTGTTAGAATCCTTCCTATCGATGACGTTCCTCCGGTACTCTTTCCCGGCACCACTTTACAGATGACGGTCCATGAGTATCAGCTGACTCGTTTTAGCAAGAGCGTCCTTCGTTACACTGATTTGGATTCTGAGGACAGAGATCTGAAATACACCATAACTCAGCCTCCCACCGACACGGATGAAAATAACCCAGTCAGATTTGGATCAATAGTTCTAACAGAGCACCCTAATACTGAGGTAAGCGAATTCACTCAAGCACAAGTGAACCATCATAAGATTTCCTACAGCCCGCCAGACATAGAACTGGGCATCGCGGCTCATGTAGTGCAGTTCCGTTTCACGGTAGAAGACACTGCTGGAAACAGTGTTGAAGGAATCTTCACCATATTTCTGCAGCCTGTCAATAACAAACCCCCACAGATAACTAACACTGGGTTCATGGTCTTTGAGCGGGGCACGCATATAATCGCAAATTCTGAGCTGGACACTACTGACCTCGACACAGACAGTAAACAGATTTCCTTTACTTTGCGTCAGGCTCCAGAGCATGGTCAGCTCCAGCTTAACTTTGTTGATTTAATTAAAGGGAATGCTTTCAGCTTATTAGATATATACAAAGGCAGACTTTCTTATGTTCACAATGGAGATGAGTCAGCCAGCGACTTCTTTAAACTGGACGTCACTGATGGTGTCCATGTCGTACCAATTACAATAAGAATAGTAGTGAAGCCAGTCGATGATGAAATGCCCTCTCTGAGTCTCCCAGTTGGCACCATTGGTTCTCACATTGACGTTTTGGAAAACGGGGCCACTGAAATCACCACCAGTGTAATCCAAGGGAAAGATGAGGACACGGATGACCTTAGGTTGACCTTCATTGTTGAGAATACCCCTACATTTGGAGAGATCCTGGTAAACGGAATGCCTTCGAGTAGGTTCACCCAAGCTGATATAATCAATGGTCTGGTGGTGTATGCCCACACCAGTGGTGAGATTGGCCTTTCCTCAAAGCAGGACTCCTTCAACTTGACCCTCACTGACATGTCTGATGAGTGGGTGGTAGGAGGAAATAAGGTCAGCGGCGTTCGTGTTCATGTCACCGTTCTACCAGTGGATAGCCAGTCCCCGGTGGTAACGGTGGGTCCAACATTTAGTGTCATGGAAGGAGACAAAAACACAATTGGAGGTCATCAAATAATGGTTAAGGATGAAGACACCTTGACTGAAGACATCTTATGTACTATAATTGTCCAGCCAACCTCAGGCTATGTGGAGAACATCTCACCAGCACCAGGTTCTGAGAAGTCCAGGTCCGGCACAGCTGTCAGTGCTTTTACTATTAGTGATGTCAACGATGGCCATGTCCGCTATGTCCAAAGCATACATAAAGGAGTTGAGCCAGTAGAGGACAGGTTCACATTCAGGTGCTCGGATGGTGTAAACTTCTCAGAAAGGCAGTTCTTCCCAATTGTCATTATCCCCACTAATGATGAGAAGCCGGAGATCTTCATGAGAGAGTTTGTGGTGATGGAGGGAATGAATGTCATTATCGATACACCCATCCTAAACGGAGCTGATGCTGATATTCCTGCTGAAGATTTGACGTTCATCATTTCAGAACCGCCTAAACATGGTTTCATCCTCAACCAGCTCACCACTGCCTCTATCCCAATCACCAACTTCACTCTGGAGCAAATAAAGGAAGCTTCTAGTATTATTTATGAGCACGATGATTCCGAGACCACAGAAGACAAATTTAATGTTATCCTCACAGATGGAAAACATAGTGTGGAAGGCACTGTCATGATCATGATTATCCCTGTGGATGATGAGACTCCAAGATTAGCCATCAACGATGGTTTGGAAATTGAAATCGGGGAGACGAAGGAGATAAATAGTAAGATCCTGAAGGCCACTGATTTGGACTCGGATGATGACTCACTTACATTTATAATTCGTTACGGGCCAGGCCAGGGCTTTCTACAGAGGAAAACAGAGCTTGGATATCTTGAGAACATCACGATTGGTATGAACTTCACTCAGATTGAGCTGAACCAGGGTCGTATTCTCTATACTCACACTGGCCAGGAAGGCGTTCGTGATCTTGTAAAGTTTGATGTGACGGATGGCACTAATCCACTAATTGACAGATACTTTTACATCACTGTGAGCACTATCGATATGGTGTTTCCTGACGTTATTAGCAAAGGCGTGTCTCTGAAAGAAGGTGGCAAAGTGACACTGACCACTGACCTACTCAGTACCAGCGATCTCAACAGCCCAGATGAAAACCTGGTCTTCACCATCACCAGAGCTCCTGTGAGGGGACACCTGGAGAGCACTGATACACCGGGAATGCCCATTGTGTCTTTCACTCAGCTCCAGCTTGCTGGAAGTAAAATCTACTACATCCACACTTCAGATGACGAAATCAAGATGGACAGCTTTGAGTTCGAGGTCACCGATGGCTACAACCCCGTGTTCCGCACCTTCCGGGTGTCCATAGTTGACGTTGACAACAAGAAACCTGTCCTGACAGTGCATGAGCTGCTGGTGACAGAAGGTCAAACCAAACTCATCACACCTTTTGAGTTGACTGTAGAAGATCAGGACACAGCTGAGAATCTCCTGAAGTTCACGGTCACTCAGTTGCCTGTACGTGGTAAACTCCTCTACAACAACAGCCATCCGGTCACGACTTTCACGAAGCAAGACTTGAATGAAAACCTGATCAGTTACAAGCACGATGGCACAGAATCAAGTCAGGACAGCTTCTCTTTCACTGTTACAGACGGAACACACACAGATTTCTACGTCTTCCCTGACACAGTGTTTGAGACTCGAAGGCCTCAAACTATGAAAATCACTATTGTTTCTGTAGACAACGGTGTACCACAGATAGTGGTGAACAAAGGTGTTTCCACTCTGAAGGTCTTGCCTTCTGGTCACCTGGGCTACCCTATTACTAGCAAGGTGCTGAAGGCAGAGGACAGGGACAGCAGCCCACAAACTTTGTTTTTTCAAATCACCACACAACCGGAGCACGGCTACCTGATCAACCTGGAAAAGGGGAATGACTCCATCAACACCTTTACACAAGGTAAAGTGACCAAATATAAAGTCTCATCCTTTCTATATGTTTATCTTTTGCTTTTATGGTTTAAAATGTAAAGAAATGATTTGTGTGCCACTGGTGGAACTATTTGACAGCACCATTTTTTCAGGAACACATATTGGGAGTTTTTATGGTTGTGTTTTTTGTTGAGTGAAGCCAAAATTAGATACTTCTCAATGATTTATTTACTATGCATCATTATTAGATAACTGATAATTGCAATATTAGTTATAATAAAGCACAATAAACCTTATTATAGATCTCGATATGCAAATCACTGAGCATGGATTTGTGTATCAGTGTATAATTGGTAGCATTTGGTCACTGTAGGTTCGAGGTAGAGTAAAGTGACTTTTTAGAGCTAATAAAAGTTTCATATGTATTTGAGCACAGATGTACCGACCGCACACGTATTATTTAATTATTATTAATGTGAAATATCCTCACAGTCCATAGAAAAACAGAACAAAACGTATCTCCAAAATAGTAACTTTAAAGAAGAAGACAAAAAAGTTCTTAACTTTCAATGTAAGTTTATGTAAAGAGGTTTTATTCCAAGTAATTTTGGAGCATTTCTATTGGTCCATTCATCATGAAATTTTCACACAATGAGAAAAGAATAGCTGTTGTGTTCAAATGATGGAGAAAAATACAAATAGTCAAAAATGTTTTTTTAACCGTGTATTATTTATTATTTTAGTCATATTATAAACTAAAACTGCACTTTAATATTTATAATATGGAACACATATTAAAGTGTTAGTGAGATATTAAACTCTTACTAGTTCTCACTAATTAATTTCAGAGCTTGAAGGAATTGAATGCTGTCAGTTATAAACTAATATGATGTGCATTTAAATGATAATTCATGCTCATAATACACATCATATGTCATATACGTATATGTTTGTAGACACCTGGTGATCCAGCATTTGTTTTGAAAACAACAGTAATTATAGTGGGTTTGTCTTTATTCGCTGCAGCAACTCTAGTCTTCTCTAGTTGTGATTGCTGTGAGGATTTGATTGCAGCTGCAAAAGCATTAGTGAGTGATTAGTTCTGGATCACAAAAGCTGCTCTGACTCATCCCAAAGGTGTTGGATGGAGCTCCGTCACTCCAGAAAACACAGCTCCACTGCTCCACAACTCTGTGCTGCAGGGCTTTATACACACCTAGCCGACACTTGGCATTGGGCATGGTGGCCTCAGGCTCATGCACGGTTGCTCCAGTGCATCCCACTCTGTTAGTCAGTGCTTTTCTGTGGAGATTATACACGCTGCACGTGTGTCGGTGCACCTCAAATTAGCTGAATTCACAGATGGACTGTTTAGGGACTTTTGTAATCCATGTGCACATCAAGGTCTTAACGAAGTTTTTGTTGCACAGAGCAATAATTAGTGATTTTTGTATAACATAACTTATGAATTATGTACTAAGGCAGGCTACAATAAATGAAGTTTGATGCTTAGTGAATAAACTGCTTAGCAGTGTCTAACTCTGGCTTTACTGAACAAAGAATAAGATCTCAGTAAACACCAATATGTGTTTCTTTACATAAAGTGGTATTTATACTATAACAGTATGATAACCATATGAAACCATATCATTCAGCATCATAACATACATGTCACTTTGTTTCCAGATATTCTAGTTGAATTAGTTTGTTTACAGTTTTTTGGCTTCAGTCAGGTTCGAGGTTCAGTCACATTCAGAAGGTTAAGTGTTTATGTCAGCACTATTGGTCTGATGCTAAAGGAGAACAGTTTATATGTGCTAGCTGCCAATTCAACCTGTTTCTGTGCAAAAGAAAGCATGCAAAACAGTGGTATAGTCTAATGGATTTAGTGTGGCACAGTGGGTAGCGCCTGGGTTCGGTTCCCCCGGCTGGGCGACCAGGGTCCTTTCTGTGTGGAGTTTGCATGTTCTCCCCTGTGTCTGTGTGGGTTTCCTCCCACAGTCCAAAGACATGCAGTCAGGCTAATCGGATACACTGAATTGCCTCTAGTTGTGAGTGTGAATGTGTCTGTCTGTCTGTCTGCCCTGCGATGTTACTGGTAACCTGTCTAAGGTGTATCCTGCTGGGACCGCTGGGATAGGCTCCAGCACCCCTGCGACCCAGAAGGATAAGCGGTTTAGAAAACGTGTGTGTGTGTGTGTGTGTGTGTGTGTGTGTGTGTACACACATATAGGAAAAAACATACTTTCTTTTAATGTAATTCAGTGGAACCAGACATTTTGTCCAAGTAATTTTGGGACATTTCTTTGGTCCATTCATCATGAAATTTACACACAATGTAAAGAGCAACAGGTATTTTCGAATTATGTCAAAAAGTGAGAAACGACAAAAGTGGAGATACGCGGTTTTGTTCCGACAACAGTGATATACATGTGTGAGTGTATGTATGTATGTATGTATGTATGTGTGTGTATGTATATATATATATATATATATATATATGTATATATATATATATATATATGTATACATATATATATACATATATGGTTCTGCACAATGAGAGTAAGAATGGCAGAAATTACAACATTGTACCAATCAGAAAAGCAGTGTTTGTTTCTCTGAATTGTTCGCACAAACCGAAAGCTTAGACAGAAGTCGATGTGCTCTAGTCAGTGTTGTGATCACTGATGTATCAGTGCTTTAAATCTTTAATTCTCTTTAGTTTCAGTGCTTTACTTTTCCAAAAATATTGGCGCAGTTTAAAAACAACTTAAAGACAACTTTTTAAATTGATCTACACTCTTAAAAAGGGGGGGGGGGTCATAAAGAGTTATTTGCCTCCCTAAAGAACCACATTTGAAGATCTGCGAGTATGAAGAACCTTTCAAATGTTTAAAGAACCTTCAAATAATGAAAAGGTTGTATACCAATATAGTGGTTTTTCATAGAACCTTTACATTATATGGAGGGTCAACGTTGCCAAACTCAGCATCTCATTTACAAAAAATAGTTCTCTAAAGAACCATTCATTAAATGTGGTTCTCCTGTAGAACCCTTTATTTTTAAGAGCGTGCACTCAGTGAAAAGTTCATGTAAGTGGTCACTGAAGATTTGCATAAGGATTTGTATTCAGCAGTTTCTGAGAACGGCATTGGTGCCAAAATAGCTGTACGTTTTAGAACTAATTCAGGATTTGCATGTTAGCATACTTTATCCATATAATTTGGAATACGTGCGTGACGTTGGCAGATTCAGTGCACATCCTTTAAAGTTTAAAGGCAAATGCTTTAATAAATGGAACGTTAACCTTTGCTGGAATCCCACACTGATAGATGTGTCTGCGCTTTAGCCTCAAGCTTAAATACTTGATGGGGCAACTAGAGCGTTCACACATGTAGGCTGTTAATTATTCATTAGGCACACTTTTTCCCTCAGAACATTTCTCCACTGGACGATTGCTTTGCTACATACCAGGGAGTTTTGTGTGTTGCTGGGGAAACAGTATTTTTTTTTTTAAATAAAATTATTTATTGCATTTGTTTATTTATTATTTCTTTTTTTAGCGTACTCAGCTCGCCAAAGAAATGAATCATAACAAGAAGAAAATGTTCAGTGTTGCTTATTTAAATTATTATATAAATATATTTTAAATCTGCTGCCCTCAAGGGGTAATTTTGGCATCATGACTTTATTTTATATTAAAATTTAATTCCATTTTATTCCTCAGAGACCTTCTGCAGCAAAATTGCAGTAATTGTTTAAAGCACTCTATTTATGCGTATGTCTGACTTAATGTCACTAATATTACATCGCCCAAATACTCAAAACCCACTCTTGTACTTGGGCAGTGTGTTTACCCTTCAGCTGAAAGGATAAAGCTGAATTCTGTAATCTGAAATCCAGGACTTGTGCACAAGACACTGTCTTGAGTATCAAACATGGGTTTATAACTTTTTCTGTAGCAAAAAAGAAGGAAATTTATTTTTTTTTATACATCACTTTGTCATTTACTGAGATGTGGGGGGGGTGTTGATAGAATAACATAACATAACATAACATTCTGTCATATGCATGTTTATGTACTACACTCAGAAATAAAGGTACTAAACTGTCTCTGGGTCAGTGCCCTTCTGGTCACTGGGGTGGGACCCTCAAGGCTCCATCTCAGTACCTTCAGTCAGGGAACATAACTGAACCATAATCCACTGAAATGATATGTTCTAAGCTGTACTGACTCCACACACCCCGTCTCGTCTCCAGGCTTTTATTTTACTGTTCTGTTTTAAAACATTCAGTTATGAAAAGGTACAAATACGAACTTTTCACCTGGAGAAACTTATTTAAGGTTCACAATCAGACCTTAAAACCACTGTTGTAGCTTTGAGGGAACATTTACACTGTTGGGCAACATGCTTAAGTCAAACACGTCTGCCTCCTTTTGACACCCTCAAGGGGTCATTTTGGCATCTTGACTTTATTTTATAGTAAAATTTTAATCCATTTTATTCCTCAAAGCAGCATAAAGCAGTCTATTAATGCGGATGTCTGACTTAATGCCACTAAAATCTCCCAACATCTCTGAACTGTATCACAGCTTCGCTCTTGGTGAGGAGAGTGATATTCTGAATTTGGCAACATGCTTAAGTCAAACTCGTCTGCCTCCTTTTGAGACCCTCTGTGCTTTGAGTTTTGGAGTAAACTTGCAAATCTTACTCATGTGTAAGTGAGCTGTGGTGTTTTTGGGGCATTTTTTGTGAATGTTGTAAAAATGCAGCCATTAATGTTCACCACTTTTTAGCCTTGTTCACACTACGGCCCCTTTATTCCATAATAATTAACTCCAGTCTTGCAGACCCCCTCCCACACACATTTTCAACTGTTTCCCCCTAAAACCCCTGATCTAGCTCATCACCCTCAAATTTAGTTTCCAAGTTACAGCAATTGGAAGTGGGAGATTCTCTTTGTGCACTCTTAGAAATAAAGGTACTAAACTGTCACTGGGTCAATGCCCCTCTGGTCACTGCA